GGAGAAAGTCATGAAATCAATGTAAATCGTTGTGGAAATCTTTCCGGAATTGGCTACTTGATGCAACGTTTCAATAACATTTATACTGGAATCAATTAAATGCCGGTCGTGGATATATTATAGACACGACCAAAACACGGCCGCATGGCTTCTTAGATCTTGGATCAGCTTGGATGACGCCGATAACGGCGATAACACCAACACCGATAACTGATGACACCAGGCATCGCATAATTTTTCCCTCGGCCGGAAAGTGGGGACGATACGACCATGGTGGTTACTGGTACTTGATGGGGGTATGCTAGGCATGGTCAGTGAAGGCGCATGAGGAGAGTAGTAGTGGGGATCGAAATACGGGCGAAGAAGAGGGGAAGCGAGCCGTGCGGGATAAATTATACGAGCCCTGATGACACTGACCACACCGACGAGGACGACACGGCTACTGGCAGTACTGCCAACTGACAGCTCTTAGAAGAAAATAATTTCCGTGCATCGCCAAAACGTCGATAGGGAAACACCTGCACGTATCTCCGACCTACATCTGCTTGTTCTCTTAATTATCTCACGATGCCACTTGTGGGCAAATTTTCCCTTCAACTATATCTTACATTTATTCCACTCAATTTAACGGATCCTGTCTATAAGAACATGTGGTTTAAGTTCGTATCAGCTAGAGAAGGGGGATCGATAGACAAGGACAAGATCAGAGAACAGCGGTTGAAGTTGAGAGCAGTGTTGGCGAACGCTTATACATAGAGCAACACGTTATGTTTCTCTTATTGGTGAGAGTTATAGTTATAGCAGTCAGCATCTTTTGGTTCAGTGTTTTCTTTAAACTAGACGATTCAATGGTAGCTCTATCCACGTGGTGGTGTGCCAAGGCTACGGCTTTCAGGGCCGTGATACTAGGCGCCCCTGCATCCGGCAAGGGCACCATGTCCTCTCGAATTATTAAACAATTTAAAGTGGCTCACATATCTACCGGCGACAAATTACGGCTACACATGAATAGTAACACCGGTACGTTTCGATCCATACGATTTGTCGTAAAAGCTTTTAGCATGATTCAGGAATTTTGTACCTGTCGTTTGAATTTTTCTTAAAAGCACGTTAGAGCACGTGTTCGGTCGAAGGGATCCATGGTTCAAAGATTATTATCTTCGACTAACATCGCGAGCTGTGAAGAACAAATGATATACGATAGTCTTCTCTTATTTCCTCAGACTGAAAGATTTAGATTACTACTAGTATTAATACAGACCCGTACAGCGTGTAAAGAGAGATAAATTTAACTGGCAACGATTTGACGAAACATCATTTATTTATAAACAGTTCTTAGTTAAATATTTGGACTCGGGCTCACTTTTGGATTGCAACATAACGTTCGTTGTTAGGTGTATCCTTTCCTACTGATGTTTCACATGTTAGCGCAACGAATTATCCATACGATTCATTTTCTCCTCATCCTGTTTAAGTATACATTTCCTTTGTTACTTCAACCGAGTTAATATCGGCAAGTGTTATCGAAATTAGCTCGATTAAACGCGTGGCGTAACTGTCCCTCTTGCCTGGACTCGCTCTTCATGAATGAAAAACAAAACATAATACTTAATATTACAACAAAGATGTAAATCGATCGCTTTACGTAGTCGAAGCACGCACACGTTCGAGAAACCATTGCAGAATTCACAAAAAATCGTTTTGAAAAATCGTAAATAATTAGATTTTGCTTCGTGTGGACTTTTTTAAATTTCCTTATCGCTGTAAGAGGAAATTATTCCGAATAATTAAAAATAATCCGCGTTTATCTATAATGCGTCTGAACAATCGGACATGCACCGATCAACAAGAATTTATCAACCGTTCCAAAGTCCAATGTATTGCGTTAATCGAAAATAAAGTAATAACTCTGGACGGCGTACGTAACTTTGAACGTTTTGACAACATAGAATTGGGCAAAACCGTCTCGCAGTACGTGCTCACCGGCAAATTCGTTCCCGACGATGTAATGATATCGCTGATCGACAAAGAAATTAAACTGGTCCCCAATCAGAATTGGCTGCTGGACGGTGAGTAATAAGATAGAGAAATCGGTCGTTCACGTAACAACATGTCAGTGCATCAAATTAATTTCGCAGTGGAATTATAAAGTAATTTCTAGTACAAGTTCGTGTGATTTAAAATGCTCTAAACGAGGGCCGGTTTTTGTACCGGGATCCTTCGAGCGATTCGCTTTGACCGTGAACGACGACCACGCGCTCGATTAAATTCGAATAAAAATAGTTTGGCAACGGTACAGGATTCCCAAGAACGTTAACGCAAGCGGAGAAGCTACAGAAAACGCATCCGGTGAATCTAGTGTTATATCTCGAAGTTCCTACCGAGGTGATATTGAATCGCGTGAAAAACAGGTGGGTTCACTTACCCAGCGGCAGAGTCTATAACGTCGGGTTCAACAGTCCAAAAGTGCCGGTGAGTCTGCATCCGGTTTGGCAAACTGCCCACGGGAACTACATATAATTAGATCCATCTCTCGATTTAGTAAACGATACGTATTTTTTCTAATTCCATATTATATTTGCAATTACCTTGATGTCGAATTGTTCGTTCAATAGGGAAAGGACGACGTATCCGGCGAGCCGTTGTCTAAAAGGGAGGACGACAAGGTAGAGATCGTACAGGAAAGATTGGAGAGGTACGCGACGGCGACTGAACCGATCTTAAAATTCTATCGTGACCTGGAAATACTTAACACTTTTCGGGGCAACACCACGGACGAACTGTGGCCGCACGTTAAAAAGACTATCGAAAAATTTCTGTCGTAAATCGTTAAGACAGGAGTTTGTACTTTTTGAGAAAGGATATAGAGTAAAACATAGACAATAGCAGAATAGCCATGTCGCATGCTTCCATTTGATTAAATACGCCGCAGCGGATTATAGTGTTGTTGTACACACGCACAAAGTACTATCATCGAAATGTAGGTACGCGAACCGATTTTTTGTATATTTTTCTGTAACTTTTGCATATGTATATTGCGCAATGATTTTGAAAGATACTTTAAATATATATTTTTTACAATCACGTATTCTTATTTCATACCGATCTCAAGTTAAAGGATTTTACTTTCATATTTAATAAATGTATTTCTTTACATTTTCGCATACAGTTTCACGAGTATAATAAGAAGCACAAATAATCGGACGGGAAAACTATTGTAAATATAGAATGATTAATATGTGAATCCGAATTATATTGTATATTATAATGTAAAGGGAACAAGGGAGCTGATTCTAAACGAGTATGGTGACACAAATAAAATGTAGTAAATGGGAGAAATACACACGTTGGAACCGTGGTGCTACCAATACTCTTCTTTCTTCCATATTTATTTTTAACTGCGCCGATATAAGAATTTTTCTTTAACAATTATTTTCAATTGTGTACAGACCTTATCTTAAACAATATGAGTATAATATACATTATATATATATATCATGCTCACATATTTTCGTTCGAAAATTAAGTCATTCTTTCCTCCTCAGTGATAACAATATCTTAATTATGTATGTATTTATGTATATATATATATACGCTTATTAATCGCACATTTCTCTTTCATAACATAAAACGTTATGTCGAAGCGAACGTTGTGACGCGCCGCGAGAACTTAGTATAAGTTCATTAAAATTCGTCGGGACTGGGCAAAAAATGTGTATTAAATAAATAATAAATAACTTACGTATTAACGGATGGGAAATGAAAGACGCGGGTTAAACGCTACGACAGATAAACGCGGTTGGACATGTACTAAATACGCGCCACGATATTTGCACGCGTGCGCATTTTTCGCTCAAGGACGAAATGAAATACGATCAAGGAATCTACTACTATTGTCACGTTTCGAAATAAGTTACGTGTCAGGAACATTTTCATGAGGAATTAGGAAATTCGTTTTATAAAAGTTACTCTTCATAGCAAAATCATTGACTTACGATCTACGCAAGTTCTCGATCCCGGGGATCATCGATCGGTAAAAGATAAAACAAAATAAATATCGTTTTTACACGTTTGAGATTAATAATTCTACGTACGCCGAAATAAACGACCCGACGATCGCTTTTACTTTTGAGATCAATCAACAAAGTTAAGAGAGAAATTGTGCAAGCAACGAATAAAAAAGGAGCCGCGTTTTAAATTACGATCACAGAACGTCTCATTGCACATGACGATAACGCAATTCGAATCTATATTAAATGCATTATCGCGAACGGAAAATATTCAATATATACGTATGTGTATTCACGTCAGTCGTTCAACGAACAGCGTTGAGATCTAAGAATTACGATTCGCGGCACGAATACATTTGAGAAAACTGTTGTCCGTCTGTTTCTAATATTATGCAACGCACTGCACCTGCTAATAAATCAATCGACTTCGCTGTTTCCTATACATACACATGTGGACGAATGAGCGGAGAATTGTGATTAACGACACTGCCATTTTGTCAATGACATTGTCAATCTCCAGAAACTATCCGTGAACGTATTATTAGATACTAAATAATTATTTTTTAAATAAATATACCTCACTGCACCAATTCGAATTCTTCGCACTCGTCTAAATCGTCGTCGCACCCATCGTTACCTTGAAAAGAGGTGGTGATGGGTATGTTCTCTTGGATCTCGATCTTTTGATGGAGGTCCTTTCCACTACCCTGGCAAAACAAGAACATCGGGTAGTCTACCTTTTCGTCTTCCGGCACCAAATACTGAAACATTAAAAAACACATTGCGTTACATTTAAGTCGAACGCAATCGGGTGATCTTTGTATGAGAACACGTACCGAAGGAGCAACCTCCATGAAATTGGTAAACTGCGCCTTGTTGTGAAAATAGAATCCCACGCAACAACTGGGGTCCATCTTCGAGATTAACATTTTCCTCGGCGAGGTGCAATGGAAACTCGTTAGAGGGAAGTTATCCTTCAGTACGTCGACGGTTTCTTGACAGTAGTGCGGATCCAGGTTGATCAATTTGTCTTCTTGAAATCCGATGAAGTACAGAGAGTGCCGCGGTCTGCCGCCGATTACTCCGATACAGGTCTCGAGCGTAAGCAAATGCGTTAAGCAGGATGCGTAAACGAGATTTAGTTTGTCAGCACCGAGCCTTAAAGGTACAAAAAGTATAAGAGATTTCCATTTGCCGTCCGTTGTTTGGCACACGTTCTCCACATCCTGCAGGTAGACTGTAAGAAATAAAGAATGAGTTCGATTAAAAAAAAAAAATGAAACGCTTCCGGCGAATGAACATGTTTATTCACCTGTACAATCTTGAGCTACGTAAACGGCCACGTTACCGAATACTGGATGCCGTTCCGCTGCACGTTCTAGCGCTTGACTTAAGAGATGAGCTACGGACGATGGTCCATACCAATCTCCCGCACGTTTCCCCCAAAGGGCGCCCAGAGAGACGAGCGTGTGTATAGAAAACGGAGATGCACGTTCGGGTAAATCTCCGAACCATTTGATTATTAATCTGTGATTGGATTCGTCCAATTTCTGTTGCTCCGTTTTTATCGGTTGGTCCGGTTGCCACTGCCATTCTGCATTAAAAGTGTTATTTTAAGAACGACATATTACATAGAATAGTGTCAGAAAAGTAAAAATACATGCCTCTTCCAAGAAAATGACAAACCAGGGCCTGTGCCAACATCATCTGGCCACTGCGCAGCATACATCCCCAACCGCAGTCGGTAGTGAACGTGGAACCATTTAATATAGGAAATTCTCTCCTGTACGTTAACCAAAGACGAGAAGTGAAATCCTTTTTAAACTCCTCAATGCCATCCTCGAAGCTGATAGCATCCATCGCCAAGGATATCTCGCTGCCGGTGTCCAAAGTTTTCTCTGCTTCAGAAGCCTTTTCCAAGAACTCCTCTGGCTTCTTCCGGTAAATTTTGCCAAGCAAACATACTGGAGATTCTTTGGAGAAGTTTGGTTTTACTACCTTTATAGTCCAGCCTTGAATAAACCAAGATCGGAATTAAATCCATGTCCATTATCTGATTCAAATAGAAGTGAAACAAGAGACTAAACACCTACCATATTTCATGTTGTTCCACATGGACAATAACTTCGTCTTGACTTTACTATCAACTTCAGTCCCGACGCTAACATCATCCATAGGTAGTCCATTGTTTGTGGAGCCCAGTTGGATGTTTGGTACACGGTCTGTGGCTATCACCCCGGAGAACAATCCAATGGAACTATTACTAAATCCTCCTAAGAATAAAGTGACTTTCGATATAACCGATGTTAATAATAATTCTCTTACTGATTTATCACACCGAAAAGCAGATTAAGTGAACTGGGAAGAAGAGTGACGAGTATTCGTAGAAATAAATATGACTAATAGGTGACGGACCACCGTTGCCATAAACGGTCAAGGAAAGTCAGCGATTTCTGGGAAAGCATTGAATGTTCGCCGATGAGCGACGCTTACCTAACCTCTCCCTGGAGGGTTGCACTTGTCCATTCATGCCCAGCAAATAGATTTTCGTAAGCATGCACACCGAGAGACATTTAAGTACCGCGCGAGAGGAATAATCGCATTTTCGTTAAGCAATGATCCCGTTCACGGTGACATCGCCGTTCGCCGAGTAATTATCGCGGACCGTATCGACGACTCTTCGCTATTGTCACAGATGATTCTAACGCGATTATGCATCGGCTGGTGCACGCGCCGAACTGGACACGAGTCTCATCGCCAAAGTCCCTGTTCGGTCTCAACGCTTCGCTTAACACGAGCCAAACACCGTAGCACGAAAGAAGTCCACTCGATTCGCGGTTCTCGTTTCTTCGAGGATACCGATGGAACGCGAAAGAAAGCGGGACACTGAGCGAAACAGAAACGATTAGGAAATAAGTTTGAAAGACACCTGAGAGCCGCCGCCGACAGGAGACGACGCGTGTTTACAAAGATCGTTGTGAAATTTAAAGCGCCCGTTGAGAACGACGCCAGAGTCGTCTACAGGCGATTCATAGTATTAAACTGATTGCGAAGTGCATGACAAATCATACGAATGAACACACCGAATGTACTCGATGCACCTGCGGGTTCAATTCTTCAGTGCACGGGGTCGAGGACGTGCCGAAAGAAAATAATCCAAATAGATATCTTTCAACGTTTCATCAATTTTGTTGATAAAAATAAATGTACGATCGTCATTTTCTCGATGGACAACGAAAACCAGATTCAAAAGATTCTTCATTATCCAGGCAGAGATACACTTCTCAATTTTCAGCGAATGATCCCAATGATTTTCCAGTGGAACTACATGACGCTTGAAAATTATCGAAAGATACTCGTACTCGATAAACCTTTAATCATTTCAGGAAATTATTTAGAGTACCAGTAGTAATCTTTATAATTATTATTACCAACACGCAATCACTCTATCTTTGATCTCTAATCGTTGTTTTTTATCGCTGCACTTGAATTGATCGACGGTTAAACAAAAGATTGTAAGTTGAAAGCAAGTATTTTATTTTATTACTTGTACTCTGATAACAATAACGTTTTCCGTTTGATTGTTACAGCGTCATTAATCACCAATTCGTCTCACAAGCCTACAAAACCTTTTAACCGGAAATCAAAGAAGCGAATGAAGAGAGTTGAACCGGTTTCCCCTGGTTTAATTTGTAACTGTTTCGAAACTATCTCTAGGAACTGGGAAACGTAACGTAATTATTTTCACCAGAATCCCTTCAACCTATTTCTCGAATCGAAATAATTGATTGCCGACCGAGATGACGAGAGAAAAAAGAATACTGGGACCACGACAGCCGCCGGGAGAGCAGGATTAATAGAGAAATAACGGAGCGCAACCGGGGGTACATTATCCCTTTTCATCGTGGTGTAATAATGCACTTTTGTCAGGAAGGACCAACCCAGGAGGAGGTGTAAAGTGACGGAGAGAGCGACGCACGTATGCAAAGCAAACAGAGGGAGCGAGGAAGATGAGCGCACGGAGATAGACAAGGAGAATGCGAAAGAGGAAAGGGAACCAGAATGATGTACGACTGGCTGGGTGGGTGTTTGATGAAGGGTTCGAGAGAAGAGGCGAGGACTTAGGACAACGTGAGCCGAACAGAGATAGAAACTGAGGAACTGTCATGCGCGTCTTGTCGAGGAATAACCAATGAGATACGCGTATCCCGGCTTACCTCATTGATTACCAGGCTTCGCGCTCGTTCTAAATTTTCGCGATTCCGCCTGTGCGTCTGTTGTCCGTCGGAAAAATATGAATGGCCGGTTCCGTGCAAAAGGATGGAAGTCGAAATTGATGGAAGGAAATGGAACGGGGGTCGCGCCTGTCAGGACAATAATCGCCAGTTCCGCTAACCCCCCCGGCGTGCCGTGTTGTATTAACAATAGCGTGCCAGCAGGTGTATCGGAGACTAGCGAATCTCCGGAGGGCGAAGGGTGTGGGCCGGTGGATAGGGGACGTTTCCCTAAAGCTGACTTGCTATACTCGAACCGTGCATAAGTATACACGTACGTGCAGGCGCACACACAGGCGAGGATACACTTTAGAAGACCTTCACACGTGTACTGCACAAACTGCGAACGGTGTAGATATCTGATTTAACGAGGATTCTACAGAAACGTTACGCGAACTCTGTTTCGGTACACTCCTGTTCCATTTTCATCGTTGATAATAAAATTCGAGGCAAAAATCAACAGAGAAGAGAGAGACAGGGAGAGATAATTGTTTGTAACAATAAATGTTGTTAAGCCGTTGTTTTGACGACTGGAACGGATAACGGAAGGATAGGATCTAGGGGATGGCCGGGTGTAGGGGTGTGGGCGAGACGGAAATTAGGTCATGCAAGAATATCGACGGACCGACGTAATCGCGGTGCACGGCTTGAATAAGGACATTAACGAGTCACGCTTCTCTCCCTTTAAGATCCTTTCTTAAAAGCAGAGAAACGACGTAGCGATACGCGGCCGTCCGCCACGTCTTCTGCCACGATAAACGAAAGATCCATGAAACCAGTGTTCATTTAAAATTCCATTCTTCTCGGTAGAACTGGAATTGGTACACGCGAGGCGAGGGAACAGGCAAGGACCGGGAGGAAAATAAATCGGTCGAGAAACAACCGGGAAGGTGTATGAACGAGTGCAGCCCGTAAGTTAAAACGAGCTCGCGGAACCTGGTTGATTAATACCCTAACACAGCTGTTCGCGTTTCCTGAAAAACTGGCTTAGCGTTAAACGGATCGCGAAAGATTGGCAAAGTTAGCCAAACTTCCCTTATGAGAACTATTTATCCGGATTCGAGTTTTATCAATCTCAGATTGGAACGTACCGGAGATAAATAAGCAAATCTTTTCGTGTATCGGCGATGACGCAGTGCAAAAATATTCCTGTTCCGCTAGCAGAGCCCTCCCCCCTTTCCCGAAAAATCTAATAATAATACGCTAATCTTTATATCGTTTGAAGAGATCGGTCCGAATCCCTGGCGGACGTTACCGGAATATCCGGCGAATTAGAGACGGAGAGGGCCGAGGCTGACCGCGTCGGAATATCTCGTTTTAATTAGCAGCACGTCGGCCGTTCTGACGCCTCCTGACGCGCGTCTCGACGCGTCGCCCGTTTCAGGGACGTTATATTTCCCCTCGCAGTTTAATGCCGGGACAAAGTAAATCCTGCGGGCGACGACTTCTAGAACCCGTGACGTCCGAAGCCGTGTTTAAACCCGAATCGCGAGTGTAATCGCGCCGGAAGCTATCAGCGAGGGACGGACACTTTTATGTCGGTTCCATTCCAGGAGAATGGACAAAGATACTAACGAGATAATCTGAAATGATTGGCAGCGAGATGTCCGCTGAATCGGGTCGTTAAATGTTTGTAATTATTTTGACGAGCTCACAATTGTGACCCTTGGAAACGTATTTGAAAGAGTACATCGAGGAACACGTCCGCTGTCTTTGACCAAGATCGATCGAGCACGAGGGATCGTGTTAACCGGACTGTCGGCGGATGCTTTTTACCACTGTTTACAGTTCCGTCTAAATCTTACTAATGCTTCTCTATTTGGTGCACTGAACGCCGTTCGATCTCCCTGACTGCCGGTAGACCCACTCGATCTTGCACGTGAGGAGATTTACACAGAGACCTGGCGAATTCTCGTAAACGTATCAAACGCGACGCGGCGAATACAAAAATAACTCCAGTGGTAACGCTTCCCCAACGCTATTTGTAAAACATGCCAATCTTTACGACTGTAAAGCCGACTGTTCTTTTTTTAAGATCAGTTTGCTCGGTTCACGCGTGAACGGCCGATCGATCCCGTGTCCTACGGTTTGCTCGTGATCGAGACGCGAATTTATGGTCCTGTAAATTACCGCGCGTTACGATAATTCACGGGCACACGCGACACCGTCACCGGCGGTGGTGCGAATATTGTTACAGCGGCGAGTTAACACGGTGTCCAAACATGAAGCGCTCAAATCAAACGAGTGCGCGCAATTTGCTGAATTAATTATGGGCTCGGCCGATGTCGCGTTATTATCCTCAAGGTGAACCGTTCTTTTACTTCTTCGAATAGCACGGAGCTGCATCGGCTGGGAATGTTGGATGAAACATTGAAAGTTTTATGACACAATCTCACGCGGTTCGATATCGCGGCTGCCGGGTCGATTGAAAAAGTTCCGAGTGGATTTGTTGCGTTATCGATGAGACACGAGATGAGGAAAATTTTGTTTATATCGTAGCCCGTAAATCCCCAAACGTATGTCTCGGAAGGGAGGCGACGTGGAACGTATAATGGAATACAATTTGAGTAAAACGATTCATGGTATTTTATCATACGGCTTAATAGAATCGCTTGATTGATACGACCGTCCGTTTGGAATATTTGCCCGATTTTCCTTGAGGACAAGGTTGGAAGCCTGTCGGTTGCTAATCGAGCGAACATGACGCGTGAAATCAAAAAGTACGCGGGAAATTCGACGCGGACGGACGGGTGGTGAAACGGGACGGCAGCTCGGATGATCGAGGAGGAGCGGCGGTGAGCGAGGGTGGAAACGGAGAGAGAAGGTTCGGGGCGCGGGCGCGAGCGAAAGAGGAAAAGCGGAAGGGAACAGATAGGAGAGGAGAGGAGAGGCAGGGGGTCGAGAGCTGGCAGCGAGGGTGGTTTCGGCCGGCCGGCCAGTCGTGCTGTGGCGGCAACGACGACGCGTAGTCGGTTCACGTTTCACCACTCCCGTCATGTTGCCAAACAACCCCCTCGATCTGTCCGACAGCCCGAACACCGATTCGCGGAACGGATGAGCTGATAGAAAGACAGAATAGTTCGGCCTCGAACGGATCGACGGAACCGAGGATGCTCGCTCGCGAGGATCGTTCGATACGCGATATCCCGATGCGTCCTTACATCGTCGACTGGCATTAAATATCCGTGGTGCAGTTAGTGGAATCGTCCTGACTTGGGATCCAGAATCCTCGAACGAGGGCCCCACCGTTCGCTCAGACGAACGATTCTCGCGTCGATTATCGAGTTCCGCGATCCGACAGAATTTCTACGAAAGAGAATCTCGCGTCCCGCGGCCCGCGACGGAATTCGGTGACGACGACGACGACGACGACGACGGACGTTCGGTTATAGAACTGTGGTCGCGGTTCACCAACGGAGGATCCTGGATCTATGTTGATAACGAGCTCCGCGGTCCGAAGGTAAACAAACGGGGGTGGCCTACGGAGGAAGTTTCTCATCGGGTCCGGTGGTGCACGTGCGACGCAAGGGTGGCTCGCGCGAATCGATCGCCTTTTTCGACGACTTCGGTACAAGTGGTTACGCAGGAGTCCGCTGGACGGATACGAGAGAGCTCGTAGGATATCCGAGGATCATCCGCGAGGGTGGTGAGTAGAACGAAAAGAAAAAGGCAGCAAGGTCCATCAAGGACAAGATGTTCGATCGGCGGCGCCCCTTCTACGGGTTGCCACGGATCCTTGCCGCTCGCGGTCTCCGGATAACCTTGGTTTATCTAAATCTCTAGGTCAGACGCGAACTATCGCGCGCTCTCGCAATTAACGGGAACCTTCTCCCTCCCTCTCTCTCTCTCACTCTCTCTCTTTCTATATCTCTCTCTTTCAGTTTCTCGCGTGACGCTTGCACTTCCTCACGCGATTCCTAAGATCCAGGAGACGTTTCAGGCTAATCGATCGATCCGAGGAAATTCTAATGGAATACCTGCACGGGTTTGACCGCTAAATTAATTGAGACACGATCCCAATGAAATGGAATCCTAATAGAATAATGTTAGCAAAGGACTGAGATGCCTAATGGATCGCATCTTTGATTTATCCATTTCGATATCGATTAATGATTCAATATCAACGTGGAATACAATTACGCCGGATTCCGATAATGGAGGAATAATATTTGATCTGTCTAATCGAACAAACGATGCTGGAGTCATGGCGCGTCGCGGATTCGCCGTTGTTCAGGTTCGGAATTTCGAATCCGGGTACAATTCACGGGTGGCAAAACACCGCCACGGGTTTCGCTCGGTACCGCCGGGAAGCTATTATCGATTCGATACGCATCATATTTGTACCTGGGTCCTCGGCTAATTATTTCCCAGCGGAGATGCCTCGAACCTTGTCAACTGCGTGTCGCCAGCAGTTTTTCCGGAGGAATGAATGAAGTATAGGAGGGGCTGAAGGAGGATCGTTATTTAGGTCAGCCGGCAATTTTCGTACCCGGGGCTTTTAAGCGTCCATCTAAAGGGTTTTCAGACGTGGGACCCGCTGCTGAAAGAGGAGGGACCGTGCGCGATAACGCTAACGCGTGAACCGCCGTCGCGGATTTTATTTCAGGCCACGCGCACCAATTTCACCGAAGCTTGCGTCCGCAACCGGGCCAGCTTGCACTTTCATACGAATTACGAGACTCGCTGAAAAAAAAAGTGACTACTTTACGGTGCATTAATCGTTGTGAACTATCTCGGTTGCAAGATCATAGCGAATGATGAATGCACGGTAAAATCGTACTTGTTATAAACCGATGACACTTATATCAACGAGTAAAATTCTACTCTCTACTTGCGGGAGAGGGGCAGATCGTCGGAGATTGCTCCTCGAACGTGGCAAACCGTTTCTGCCTCGCTCTTCTACGGCGGAAGACGGCGACGTTCCGTGAAGAGGAGTAGAGTTATTAGCGAGTAGACGCTTTCTTTTTTTTTTATTCGAGGGTATAACGAATCGGGGACTTGACATTTTTTATTCGAAAGCTCTGTCGTTAGGAGACGTTTACGGACTCGTGGGAAGTCGAACGTGCAGAACGACTGCTCGTTACGTCGTTGCCAGAAGAATAGAACAAGCTTTTAATAGAACCAATGAGGCAAAATTAATGAAGGCTAAAGAAAGTTAGTCCGTTCTAACCGGTTATATAGATCAACCTGGTCCGAAGCGTTTGACATTTCTACGGTTTTCAATCAAGCTTAAATACCCGTAAGAGAATATATTAATAATTGGCCAGGGTCTGGTTTTACTTAACAACGTTTGGAATTAGCAGGCGCGTCTCGTTGAAATCGAATCAGCGCAAATCAAATCGTCATTAACTACGGAATCGCGAGGAAGAACCCGGTGATTAGAGGCACCTGACACCTAATCCGAACGGCGAACATTGTATCCCGCGATGAGAAACCGTAGCCTTCTCGTTACCGTCTTTCTTCGTACTGATCGATCAACCTAATGAGCTCCTTTACAGGGAAAAAAACGGACGGGGTGAATTCGTCGAAGCGAGAAATAATAATAATAATAATAGTAATAAACGGTAGCAGCTACTAGTTGAGAGAGAGAGAAAGAGATAGGGAGAGCTCGTGACGCAAAGACCGTCTGATAAAACAGTAATGAGGGCGACGATAAAAAGAGGATACCTTGCGAAGAAAGGGAATCGTTTTCAGGGGGAACAAACGTCACCGCGAGGATGGATGCGGGAAACTAAAGGAACATCGAGGGTGGAGAATATTGTGAAAACTTTTACTACCGAGGAGGGAATCGTCGTCGCGCGGAAAAGTAATCTCGGCGTCCACAAAGGGGTTGGAAAATAAGTATCCGCGGGCGAGTAACGCTGGGGACAAGTTCGGGTGGAAACATATTGATTTGTTTTTGTTGCCTCGCGGACACGCGATAGCCTCCGAGTGGAATGTGTGTCAGAGCGAACCGAATTTCCCGAGGGTGATCCCCGATCGAGGCACGAGGGGAACTGTCCCAAAAAGGAACGAGAAAAGAGCACGATACGTATTCATAATGAAATAATAGAGAATCCCGAAGCAGCGGACGAGGGTAAGAGGGACAGGCGAAGAGAGTAAACGCTTCTCCCGGTTCGCGAGGAGTCGAACACGCGAGTCGAAAAATAATCAGTGGACTCGCGAAGTATTCGAAAGGAGGCTAGTGGGTGGACGAGAGAACTGGAAGGTCGCAAAGTCGAAAACTCGGCCCCGAATAATGAGAACGGAGCCAGGGGACGGGATAAACGTCGCTATCGATTCGTTATCGCGGGGCAGACAGATCGTCGACGATGAGAGATTCGTCCACCTTCCTTGAACCATCGTCGGATTACGTCGTCCCGACGCTGAAATCGGTCGAAGTCTAGCCATGTTACTGGATCCATCGACCATCTGTATCCTGGTTAACCGCGATACCAACTCCTTCGATATCTCGGTTTGTCCTAACGAGAATCAACCGTGTTTGCGATCGAGGCATCGATCGGGGAATTAAAAAAAGTGTCGCGTAAAACGGGGAACGTCGCTTCGCGGTTTCACGTTTAATGTCATTCTGCAACCCTCGGTGCTCTCTGAACACGCGTAAAACCGAAGGGGGGGCGCACACTCGAGTCCGAAAGAGGGAGAATTATCGAGAAGTTCGACTGATAAATCGGATGAAGGGGGAACGAGATCACGGTGGATGAGGCACTAAATGAACAACAGCGGCGCCTTGGTCGAGTGGAAGAAGCGGAGTCGGAGACATCAAAGAGTGCACTGTGCCGAGGAACGAGGAAGAAAACGCGAGAGAGAAGCCGGTGCGAAAGGGCAGGGTGCTGGGGAGAGGCAAGGAACGTGGCATGAATTAGAACTCATTTGGTAAAGTGTTGCGCGTGTAGCGAGTTTTGAAGAGGTCGTCGCGAGGAGGAAGGGGTTGGACGCCGCTCGACGACGGTTCGGCCGACGGGGGTTTGAACGCGAGAAGGAGCGAGAGCGGAACTAAAAACGAAAACGAGGATGGAGCGGAGGGGAGTGAGCGCAATATGAGAAAAAGAGGAGGTCGGGGGGCGGAAGGGTGAGAAATAGGAGAGAGGCGGTGGACCGTATCGCGAGAATCCGCTGGCAACTCGAAGAGGGAGCGGAGTGAATCGGACGTGGTGAGCAGGGCAACCGGCGGGAACGAACGGGAACGAACGGGGGGAGGGAGGAGGGCGGAAAGATTGACGGGAGAAACAGAGGAATACCACTTTGCTGGCTCTCGCTTCGCTCTCAAAGAAAACGGGTCGAGCTTGTACTACCGAGTAAGTAATACCCTTTAATCAACGACTGGGAGAGGAACGCCGGGAAGTTTATGCTGGACATAGGCTACGGGCCGTGCGAAAGGGACGGCCGTCGGGTTAGGGGGATCTTGTCCTTTGACTCGGATTTAGAGCATGCAGGATTTACTCGATAAAGAAATGATCTTGGAACAGCAACTATTTCCTCTACAATTAATTTATGTTTTAAGATCAGAGACTGCCTCGTCTTTTAGAGCATTCGGGAGAGACGAGATTAGAGGTAATTCGCTCGTTACTTCGGTTGCGCCGCAGTTTCAGGATATGCCCAGCGGAAGGCGAGAGACCGCCAACAAATCCCAAGAATATCAAATCAGGGAAAACCCGATTTGCTTTATTCAATATACAGATTCCGAGCGTCGCGAGGTATTCCCAGTCGGAGGTCTAAGGAATATTTAATCCTGCGCACTTCAGCCATGAAAGCGGCTGCTAATCCTCAAACGATCTTTCGCTCGTAGCTTCCCCTAAAAAATTCGACGCGCCGGGTATTTCGCACGGTTCGCGAATCCACCGCTCGTAGAAAATCGTGTCGTTTCCGGCCTGGAAAAACCTGCCTTTCCCGGATGCAAAATGTTCCGGCTAACCACGTCAACTTTAAAAATTGCATCACGACGTCAGTCTAATTTGAACAAAATTCTCTGCAAGCGTTTCTTCGTTGGAAGTTGATCTTCCTTGCTACACGGAGTTTGAAACAAATTACTCTATTTTTTTTTTATCAAAAATTACATAATCGTGGAAGCCACGATTTTTCTACAATTCTACGGATTATTCTTTATGCTCGATGAAAATTTGTCGTTTATCTCTAATCGTCGAATTCGAGCTGGTAAAAAGGGAAGACGTAGCTACTCGATTATTGCAGTTAACGAGGGAATTCTCCTTTCACCTACAAAGAAGCTTCTCCTTTGGCGCACAGGATAAGATTATTCTACGAACCTTAAATCCTCCAAGCTGTTTGTCGATTTCTGGCTATTCCGTCTTCTACTCGAATTATCATAGTTACTTTGTCTCGGTTATCCTTCCGTCTCTAATTAATCATCTTTATCCAGGTCGCGTGGATTTAAAAGGTTGAACGACGCTCAAAGTTAATCGGTTAATCCTTTTGTAATATGTATTTTAATTAAACGTTCTACCATTCGACAGTGCATTATCAATCTCTTTCGGCCCGCACCTTTACCCAATTACAAAGTATCAGATAATGCAACTGGAGCATTTCGCTCTAAATATTAAATCTATCCGACAAAAAAAATCCATCATCCTGTCCTTCGCTCCTTAATTACTAGCTCCATCTGATTAGAAAATTTCTGGACCGATACCTAACGACGTTAACCCAAAAACGAGCCCGACCGCTACTTTCCTATTAAACGTCGATTTTGCAGAATTAAAATCCGACTCATCACTTTCGTATCACAACATCTATCCATTAGTCTCGCGTCCGATCGTTATCCTACGTGCTGTCATTCGATTCGTAAAGGGAAATAAATTTTTCTTAGCTCGAACTTCTACAACTCGATCGACGAGTATATATCGAGGCTGTGTATCCGGTCTTCGGACTAATAATTTTGCGGGCAACTTCCGGCCCGTGATTGCCCAGGAAACTGCTAATGCGCGCACGTCCTACATACACGGGCGCGAACGAATGCGAGCGCACACACTGAAACGCTGAGTGAGGAACCGGAGCGTTTCCGAAGTCGGTGGCCGTGGGGCTGGGGATACACTCGCACGATAGAAGGCGATCTCGATTATCTTTCGTGGGGAAAATCTCCCGTGTCCCCGCCGTGGAAAAAGAACATCTGCCGCTAAGCGATACCAGCCAGAAACCGTTCGGGAAAATAATGGACTCCGGGAGGGTGAACTTGTATTAATTGCGATCCCCGGGGATGAAACGTTCCGTGCCCGAGGGCTCCCGAAATAGATTGTTTCATTACAACCGAATTATTTACCTTCAACGTTTTTGTTACTTGCGTACACAAAAACAGGATGCTCTTGTCCACTATTTTTATAGAAATACAGGCTGCAGGAAATTGAATTAAAATACAGCTGACGATGTTTTGAAAAACACGACGTTTAATTTATCCGAGACGTTTCTATTCGAATTAAACTTGTTATAAGTGAATTTAGTCACGAAAATCCGGAAATCTATTTGTGACAGGATTTTTTAGCACACGGAGTTTCAGAGATTGGACGTGGAGGTGTTCTATTTTCGTTGGTATCCTTCGATTATTTCGCTAAATAATTCCGACGAGATCGGGTCACCGCGATTTCGATCGGCCACGTTAGTGAAATCACGGATGGACGTGATCCTGCATGAAAAAATGGTCAGGCGACGGCACGTACCACTTTTCTCGGCGAGACCACAATATGAAATTTAATAAAAGAGCGCAAACAAATTTCATTGATAGATCGTTCTTACAGATAAATTGTTTGCTCGCATGCACGAGAGAATGCATGGAAGAAATAGACTTTAGGGATAGAAATTCGAGAGCGCCGGTATAAGGGTAATAAGAAAATTGGAATAACAAAAACTTAGAAGTTCCGGGACGCAAACGGAATAGCTAATTGCGATCGAATTCATTGAGAAACACCCCCAATTACCTTAATTACCGCTCGGTTTCTGGATTGAAAAGGGTGCCGGGGTATCGTTCCTGCGAGTGAAATTCGCGATGAATTCGTTGGTCGGTCTCGTTAATAAGAAGGAAAAAAGGGTTTTCGAGAGTCGGCATCGAGGAGGGAGTAAAATCGATGTATCCCAATTGAAAGGGCGGGAATAGGCGCGAATATCGGTGGAGGTAGCAACCCAGGGATCGTTGGGGTTTCGAGTAAATATCCAGAGTGCCGTACCTACGCTCGGTCGATACTCTAAACGGGGGAGACCAGGAAGATAGTTCCTCCCTTTTTATTTAAAGCCAGAGACAGACGGACAAACCGAGAGGAAGAGAGGGACGGCGGTAAGTGTGAGGAAAGTACGTCGAGCGAACCGGGCCATGAAATCACGCGTGTGAATATTCAACCTACCGAATATTCATCGAACAAGAGAGAGAGAAGATGGATCGGACCGGGTTCCCATCCCATAAATCTCGTGGATCAACTGAAATTGGATAGGAGAAATCGTGCGATTGCTGGATTAGATGTTGCGCGAAACGTTTATTAACAATGTCTCTGGAAAGGGGAGAGAGACGAATGGTTCTCTCGTCTGGTGTGATAAATAAGAATTTGAAAGAGGCACGCGTGACAGAAGTGGGCCGGTGTTAACAAAGAGCGCTCGCGTGGAAACGGTGGCCTGAAACCCGTTTGCATAAAATCCCCATTTACTTTGCGGGATTTTCGATGCCGGTGCGTTCGCGACGTGACAAATTTTCCGATATGCGCCGGCTCCATTTCGGACGTCCATCCGAGGGTCCAACGTGGAACCAAGTAAAATGCGCCACATTTTTCTCTTTGATCCATCGCTAATGTCCCTTTTTATTCGAGTAAAGGGAAAGCTCGCTTTAGAAAAATTACCGCTTTACGAATAAAGTGAAACGAATCTGCCTTTGATTAGTCCCTTTTTCATTCGCACAAGCATTACGCATCAAGGATACGTTAGTTTCTCGGTATATTAATTAAAATGCAATTTCTGTCTCACGTCTCGCTAATCCCTGGGAAATATTAGACGAGTGACTGTCTTTGATCGAGCTGCGCCTCGTTAAGGAAAACCTGAAAAACGAGGAGAGGCGATTTGGAGACAATCGGTAAACCATGCGCCAAACGACGACCCCATGCGACATGACGAAAAAAAAGACTCTCGAATTTAAATCTGAGGGGCACAGCCACGCTTGTTAGAGTCCCGTGAAATTAAGTCCGCTTAACGAGTATGCGAGTCGGGTGAAATTTAACGAGCCAACCGGGTCGACGCAACTGCGAACTCTTTTTACGCCCCCCTCCCCCCGGTAAAAGAGTAAAAGTGAGTTCGTCCTAAATAGAAAGCCGCAACTCGGTTTGCCATTGGCAGCTGTAAATCAGACGAAACCGAACGCGAAAAGGGTGGGAAGAAATCTCGATTTATATAAACGTCCGCGGGAATCAGTAGTACGAGTCGATGATTCATCGGCCGTACCACGTATTCCGTTCGCTATTATAAATTGATCGCGAATTCTTATACAGAATCAAGCGTTTCCGTTTATGACTTAAGGAATTAAATCCAGATTGATCGAAACGATTGTGTTCCACGATGTTTTCCACGTCATCGTCATTCATCTGTACAGTCTAATCCAGTGGTGGGCAAACATTTTTAATGTGGGGCCACAAAGTTTAAGAAATTCTAGAGGAGGGCCAGAATTATAGAAAAAATACACTTTATACTTCTCGACCATGAAAACATAATTATAGCGGGCCACATACTATCCATGTCGATGGGTCTACGGCGGGCCGGATTAAATAATTTCGCGGGCCGGAGTTGGCCCGCGGGCCGTACTTTGCCCACCACTGGTCTAATCTAATCGAATTTCAAGCTTAAAGCTGATACCGCTGATACTTGAATCTCTCTGTCTTCGTCATGGTTGAACGTAGTTTACGATATTTTATCTGTTTGAATCTGCGGTGGAAGGTGCGTTAAGTGGCTAACGCTTTTATCGTCTTCCTGTCGCGAGCAGAACGCCCCGGGAGATTAAAGGAGGTCCCGGCGAGAGAAAGAGGCTTCTTCGAAAGTTCTCGGCACCGAGAAGTCCTCCGTCTTCGACTTTCGGTCCCGTGTTCGATGCACGCTGGAAAACTTGTCGGGAAAAGTTCGAATGCATCTGCCCTCTATTCGGAGCGGACGGAAAAGTTGAAGCGAAGGTATACGCCTTTCTTCATGTTAACGTACATATATACGTTGCACGATTGTTTCCTGTCTATGGTCCATGGAGATTCTAAGTTACGTTTCAATTAGCTGCACTTTGAAACTTGCTCATGCGAAACGGTGCTTTTTGCCGTAATCGCGAAGATCACATCCGCAGACTTTCTATCTCGGGCTGCAGAGAGATAAAAGGGAGGTTCTTGTTCCCTGCTCGAGGATTCTTCTCATAATTTTTGTAAATTCTTTTACTTCCTGCGGAGAATGTAGGTCCTCTTGAAAGAGAAATCCTCTGAGCTCTGCCCGGGGCCGGAAACGATGCTTACTCCGTACGAAAAGGGGACGCGTTGCGTAGCATGAAATTGAGGAACGGTTTTCCGGGTCGACCGGCCAGGAAATAAAACGGTTCCACGGAAAATTCGTGTCCGATCGATAAACTTGCTCCGGTGATCCTCTCGTTCGAGTCTCGGCGCATTAATATCGAGATTGGTTGCCCCGTGCGAACTCCAGGACTTCCTCGTGGAAATTCGGGACGAAAGCTGGACCGGAGATGTTCGAGGCGATGGATGAAACGTGGAGGAAGAAGAGTCCGAAAGGAGGACACGCGATGGCTAGATAAGAACTCATCTGAACGTGGGATCGCGTGCAAGACTGTCCTTACCATGTAAATAATAGTAGCTGGGCCTAACAAATTTTTCTACAACGGAAACGGAACCTCGCTAATCAACTAATTTAGAGAAGAGCTCGTAGAGAATTCCAGTCGACCTCGAAGATAAACTCGACTTTAAGCATAAAATGCGATCTTCGGCTAGAAGAAATCAGTAGATCCAACCGAGTAAAAAATGAGCCAGCCAATCGTTCGTATGTTGGTCCTGGCAGTGTCGCTGCAGCAGCTGTCTTTCGTCACGCAGTCGAGGCTGCACAGTGAACGGGAAGCGGTGCTGATACCCGGGGACATCGTCCTCGGTGGTCTGTTCCCGGTCCACGAGAAGGGGAGCGCGTCTTGCGGACCGAACGTCTACAACCGTGGCGTCCAACGCCTGGAAGCGATGCTGTTCGCCGTGGATCAGATAAACAATGACGGCAAAATCCTTCCTGGGATCACCCTGGGTGTTCACATCCTAGACACTTGCGGTAGAGACACGTACGCTCTGAATCAGAGCCTGCACTTTGTCAGAGCCTCGCTGTCCAATCTGGACATCAGCGTGCTAGAATGCGCAGATAAATCGGCACCCAGGGTGAAGAAAACGGCCAGTGCCGGTCCTATTTTTGGAGTAATCGGTGGCTCGTACAGTTCCGTGTCCCTCCAAGTGGCCAACTTGCTCAGACTGTTTCACATACCGCAGATCTCCCCTGCTTCCACCGCTAAAGCCCTCAGCGATAAAACCAGGCGAGTGCTTCCATTTACTTCTCATTTACCAGAGGAATCGTTTCTCTTTTCTAACAGTACATTTCTACCGTTATTTACTTTCGTTTTGTCGTATTTTCGTTCGTATAACGTCGACCAAATGAATTACTATAAAGGATTTTATATTGCAATGACGACAGTATATGGAACGAATCGATCGAGCCATATCTAGATTGGCTCGAAGATGCACTACGATAATCACAGTCCCATTAATGCTAATCGTTCGGTTTCCAATCTTCCATCAGGTTCGACTACTTCGCGCGAACGGTGCCCCCGGACACGTTCCAATCGATAGCCCTGGTGGACGTGGTGAAGAGCGCCAATTGGTCGTACGTCTCTACCGTCTACTCCGAGGGCAGCTACGGGGAGTACGGAATCGAGGTATTCACCAGGGAAGCCACTGAGCGAAACGTGTGCATCGCTGCCGCTGTTAAAGTACCCGGAGCCGCGGACGATCGCGTGTTCGACGATATCATCCTACGGTTGAGCAAAAAGTCGAATGCCAGAGCCGTGGTCCTGTTCACCCGTGCGGAGGATGCGAGAGGTATGAGTACCAGCGCGTTCATAATAGAATCCTTTGTACTCATGAAATATTGAACTCGACATTTCTCTTTGTATTTTATCTATCATCTTTCCCTTTACATTAATTACGGTCTTTATTAATAAATTTATATATCTCTTCACTGAAGATATATGTTCTTTTTTATTTTTCCTCAGGTATCTTGGAGGCAGCTAGGAGATCCAATTTGAGCCAGCCATTCCAGTGGCTAGCCAGCGACGGCTGGGGAAGGCAAATCAAATTGGTCGAGGGTCTCGAAGAAGAAGCCGAAGGAGCTATCACTGTGGAATTGCAATCGGAAAATATCCCTGGTTTCGATGAATACATGGCGTCCCTCACTCCGGAGACTAACCGTCGAAATCCGTGGTTCAACGAGTACTGGGAGGAAGCGTTCAGCTGCGTTTTGAGGAAGAGCGTCGCGAGAAGTCAAAACGGGACTACGTGCTCGTCGGAGCTTAGACTTACGTCGGAGAACGGATACGAGCAGGAGTCGAAGGTCCAGTTCGTCGTGGACGCGGTGTACGCGTTCGCGTTGGCACTGCACAATCTTCAAAGGGACGTGTGCGATAAGAGCAAAGGATTGTGCCCGTCGATGGCGAACTACGACCGGGGTGCCTTCTATAGGAGTTACCTGCTGAACGTGTCCTTTACAGGTGAGTATAGAGAGTACAAAAGCCGGAATCCAATATTTTTCCCCAGGGCGATGGACCGTGTGCTATACGTATATTCGGTTCGTGCTCCAGCCTCCAACGTTCCCTTTTTAGGCGTATTAAATTTTTTTTCCACCCCCGCGGGCAATAAACGCGTCACGTTTCATGGAACCGATAATATCGACGAGCCGAAGACATTCACACCCGCAGATATGAAATTTCGTCGGCCGTCCCTTTCAGGGTAATTCACGTGTCGCGGATTTTCCACGGAAATACGGTGTTTATTGCAGTCACCGATACAAAACGAGTCCGTTGCTCATAGTTTCCCTCAAATCCCGACATTCGCGTTTCCCATTCTCAGAATTGCTTCCTCCAACAAGTTTTTCTTTCAAATCCCTGACAATCCCTCGTCCGTCCCGACAGCGTTCGAAGATTGCACGACCGGTCCTTCCAGGCATTTCCCCCGTCGCATTCCATCCCCGTTCCACGCCTAATCCTCTGCCTGGCGGATGGAATTAACTATCCGTTGCTTGAACGCTCTATGAGTCCGTATTAAACCGAAAGATTAACGCGTACTTTCGGACCCGGTGCAACGACGGGATCGTGGGAGTGGAAATTCGGTTGGCGGCTCGAGGGAAAAAGAGCGCGGCGACTTCTGCGATACGAACTATACGAGCCCCAGGTCGGGTTTTTATTCTCCGGCCGCGATAAAGATAGAGACCCATTAAAAAAAAGGGGTTGAAAACTCGTCCGAGGCCAACGAAGCACCACCGTGACTCCGGGGTAACAGACAAATGTACGGAGAACGAGGAAGAGTGCGCGGAAAAGCGGGAATAGAGGGAAAAAAAAATAGAAGGGGGAACGAGAGAGGCGTTATTACAGGGAGATCGTGCTGTATCGATCCTAAATGTGCAGTCCAAGGCCATTGTTTTTTTTTTTT